TGTTAGGATCAGCTGTGCAGATATCCATAGGGAGTGTGTTGTAACTGAAGGTCCCAAAACAGGAGCACTCAGAATCACAGCTTGCTTCTGGAAGCTCTTACCGCGTGTGAGGGTCATGTGCAGCTCAACACCATAGCTTCTCTATAATTCTGGAAAGCAGGTTGATAACAAAGTTTGCTAAAAGAGCTCCTGTGTTTTGGTGACCCTGAATTTAGGTTAGCTAAACCCGGCTCAGGGGGATCTCATACGGCCTCTCAAAATCTGCTGTGGGATGTTTGGATGTGGCTCAGGCACAAAGACAACCAAAATCATTGGCTGCTTGTGAATATTTTGGTTTGTGGACGTGTCAGCTGGAGCCTGAAAGGGTAGGAATAACACTACTAAATTCTCCCAGTAAATGAAGAGGAAGCACTGTCTTTGCAGTGTGCTTTCCTTTGGGTGCCCAAGCAAGTAGGATCAACAAAAACTAGTCCCTCCAACAGAGCAGTGTTCTGGCTCATGGGAGGGAGAAGTGGTTCAGTTTGTTAGGTGGCAGAGAGGGGTCCCTGCTGAGATGAGTCCTCAGCAAGCACAGAGGAACCTCTTGGGCTCTTTCCTGCTCGTCTGACTTGCTCCTCCACATCGGAGATGAAGTTGGATGTAGGCAAACGTGTTTTGTTCTAGCTCAGCTTTCTGGGGAACTACATGCTATTGCTGAAACTGTGGTGTCTAAACTTGCGCCTGGGTTTCCCTTCAGGGGATGCTCCAAGAAGCGCTCTCGCACGCTTTTATGAAACTTAATACCTGTCAGTTAATATAGGCAGAAAAGCCACCAGCTTCAGGGCAAGGCTTGCAAGTTCACTTCTGCTAGTAGGAGTGGGAAGCCCAGTGCCAAGGACCTGTGAGAACAGCAAGCCTCAGGGGCTACGTGTACCAGAGACACATGCCCATCTCTCATGTGGGTTTGCTCCCCGCAGAGTCCGTTTCAGGCAGGTGCAATCCTAGAGCTGATCGGACTTCACATAAAAATCCACCCCCCCCCCCCTTTACCCGCTGTCTCACCCCTGTGTGCTTGGCGTTGTTGCAGGAGCGTGGCCTGCACCGTGGTGGAGATGTTAACGGAGAAGCCGCCGTGGGCAGAGTTCGAAGCCATGGCGGCTATTTTTAAAATCGCCACCCAGCCGACCAACCCCCAGCTCCCCGACGGCGTCTCCAACTCCTGCCGCAACTTCCTCAAGCAGATCTTCGTGGAGGAGAAGCGGAGGCCGACGGCCGAGGACCTGCTGAGGCACCCCTTCGTCAACTGCGGGCTCTGAGCCCCCCTGGCAGCGGGGATGGGGAAACGCCGGCGGGAGCGGGGCGGCCGCCAGACCCGGGGCCTTTCGGGCTCTGCGGTTCAGACCAACGCCCTGGGCTGTCCTGGCAGCGGCCCCCGCAGGTCCCTCCTTGCTCGTCGCTGGCTCGGCACCCGCCGCGCTGTTGGATTTCCAAGCTGCTCCTCAGGACTGTTGGTGTCGGGAATTCAGAGCGAGGAGATTGCCCGGACCGTGCGGGCGCCGGCCTCGGACCAAGTGACCTCCTTGCCACCAGTGATACCGGGGTCATCCCCCCCCTTGCCGTGTTACATATCTCCTGGGGAAGGCGCAGTAAATGGGATCTGTCCTTCCCACCCCCCACCCCCACATCCACCCAGCACGACAGGGACGCCGGCAGCATCCCCAGGACCGGTGGAGGAATAAGATGCTCAGTGGCGGTCGCCGCCTTTCGCAGGGGAACAGAAACAGACAGGGGCTTCAGCCAAGCCGGAGGAGATGATCCTCAGACCGCAGTGTCGGGGGGACCCGGGTGTCCCTGTTCACAAGGGGACTGAACCCTCCTGGAGGTCGTGGGACCAGCCAACGTCTCCAGTGGGGCGGCGTTTCATACTGTTCTGTGCCTTAAGCGGTTACAATCAAGGAGTGATGCTCGACTCGGCACAAAGCACGGAGTCGGGTGCGCTGATGCAGCAGCTGTGTTGACTTTGCCTTTGTGTGTGTGTGTGTGTGTGTGTGTGTGTGTATGTTTGAGTGTCTTGGAAGAAGGGGTCTTTTCGGGGCGCAGGAGGTCTCTGCGGGGTGCACCCACGGACGGATGCCTGGGACCTCTGCCACGGGCTGTACGGAGGGATGTTTAAATGCTGTCGATGCCTGCGGTGGGTAGGGCTGAGCACCAGCCAGTTTGGGCTGGGAACCATCAGGGTTCGGGTGGGGTTTTGGCGAGGACGGCTCTCTGCTCATGGCCATAGCCCTGCGAACCCGTGCCTGTGCTGCTCCGCTGGGGCTGGAGGGATGCCAGCGCGTTTTTCACGCGGAGCTAAAGGAGGAGGGAGCCCAGTGGGTCTCCGTAAAACCCAAGCAGGTGCCTAAAACTAGAGAGAGAGGACCAGCACCTGCAGATCTGGGCTGCGTGCCTGCTCCTCCACACCTTGTGGGACCAGCCCGGGGTGCGGGGAAGGGGGACGTCACCTCCACGGTGGCGCCCGAGGGAGCAACTGCAGGACCACGAAGCCTCAGACCAGGAGAGCAGAGCTGTGTCCGTTGAGGGCAGCTGGAAGCAGATTTCTTCCCACAGTATATTTCAAGTTACAGAAGAAAATGGGCCAGTTGAAGGCAGAACTGGGCTTTAGCCTCTTTGACCAGCACTACCCTGCTAGAAAACCTGGGCAGGGACCAAGCACAAAGTCCCTGGAAGCTAATTAATTAATCAGATCTTTGTTATTTTGGACAAATTAATTGCACCGTGCCACCTCCTCCTTCCCTGCTGCATTAGCTCTTTCCACCCAGCTCAGCAAAGGGTTAAATAACCAGTTACCAGGACGTTGTCATGTTCAGGCCAGTGTGTCAAACGCAGGTTTATTTTAATATTGTTTTTAATTGAAAATGAGAAGTGTTGCTTGGACTAAAGAGGGAATTGAGAAATTGGTTGTTCATGTGACTTCACCCATCCTCGAATTCTTCTGTGTGAAAGAGATCAAGACTTTGCAGCGGCGGTGGGAGCGTTGCCTTGTCCACAGCTCTGAAAAGAGAAGCAAAAATCAGAGTTATTTCAGTTTTTTTTTTTAAAAAAAAAAACACTGGTAGTGTCAGGGCAAATTAAAAGAAATAGCTAAAACAATTCCCTATAAACTTGCCTGCCGGTTTACCCAGGCTGAGCTGGGGTGAAGCAGGGGGGCTGCTCCAGTCACCCACGGCGGTGCTGGGCAGCCCTCCTCAGGGAGGGGGGTTGAAGTCGTCTCCTTTCTCTGAGGGGGAATGAAGAATTTATTCTGTGAATAGGAATAAATCCTTCCGTCTGTTCAGTCATATGGGAGGGAGGGATGGATGGATGGAAAAAAATACGGGAAAAAATAAATAAATCAGTGTTGGCTGGGGAAGGTTTTGTCAGAAGAGGGTAACAAAGTATGCTTTCACCAAAGCTAAAAAAAAAAAAAAACAAAAAAAAACAAAAAAAAACAAACCAAAGTAATTTTTAAGCTGTTTTCTCCTCTTTCATTCAATCTGTTTGGTTTTGGTTTTCTCAGCCCTTTAGTGGTGGGTGGGTGTTTTCCTTCTTTCCAAAGCTTTGAGAGCAATGTGGGGGTCCTGGCTGCCCCAAACCATTCCCGGGGCCCTCAAACCACCCAAATCCTCCCGTGGATGGATGCGGCTCGTGTGCGTGTGTGTGCGTGTGCGACTCACTCCTCAGGTGCCTTTGCCTTTTTATTTTTTAAAACCCTTGCAGTGTTCTGATGTACAGAATGAAACTAGGAAAAGAGTATGTAATATTATGCCATGTAAAGTTGTTCTTTTGTTTTTGTTTTCTTTGTTGTTTGTGTTTTGGTTTTTTTTTTGTTTTTTTTTTAAATTTTATTTTATTTTGCCTGTAGTGGGTCTGGTGGCTTTTCCTGTGCGCCGCATGATAATGTATCCATCCAGAATTTATTTTCTATGGAGGGGAGGCTGGAGCAAGATATCACCTCTCCCCTGCACACCAGTGTAGCCCCTTCCCAGTAGGACTGGTCCCAGCGGGGAGGAGCGGTGCGGGGGCACAAGGGGCCACCCATTGTGACAGTCCCTGGTGGCAGCAGTGCCGGGGGGTGACAAGGCAGGGCTGGAGCTGATGTTTCGGGGGGGGGGGGAGGGGGGGGGTTACTCGAAATAATGAATCTGTGCAGCTCTCAGATGCGACGGCTCTGTGTGTCCCTTTGTCCTGGCGTCCCGCTTTGTTCAAATGCTCCAAATGCACAAGTTTTTATATTTTAAAAAATTTAATTCATTTTTTAATTTTTATTTTTAATTTTATTTTTCTTCTTTTCTTTCCCTCCCCTTTTTTTTCTTCCCCCTTTCTTTTTCCCCTACCCTCTTTCTTTGCCCCCTCTTTCCCCCTCCCCCCTTCCTTTTTTTCCTCCCCCCCTTCCTTTTTTTCCTCCCCCCCTTCCTTTTTTTCCTCCCCCCTTCCTTTTTTCCTCCCCCCCTTCCTTTTTTTCCTCTCCCCCTTCCTTTTTTTCCTCCCCCCCTTCCTTTTTTTCCTCCCCCCTTCCTTTTTTTCCTCCCCCCCCTTCCTTTTTTTCCTCCCCCCTTCCTTTTTTTCTCCCCCCCTTCCTTTTTTTCCTACCCCCCTTCCTTTTTTTCCTACCCCCCTTCCTTTTTTTCCTCCCCCCCCTTCCTTTTTTTCCTCCCCCCCCTTCCTTTTTTTCCTCCCCCCCCTTCCTTTTTTCCTACCCCTCTTTCTTTGATGTTTTAATTTTTTGTTTCTGTTTCTTTCAGTTTATTTTATTTATTTTAAAATTACTTATTTGGTTTAATATGTATTTATTTATAATCAGGTCTTTGGGTTGGGTTTGTTTTTGTTTACGTTTTTATTTTACTTTTTTTAATTGCCCGCTCCTTGCCCGGCTTAAGGCTTGGGGGCGTGGCCATGCGATTGGGGGCGTGGCCATGCGATTGGGGGCGTGGTCATGCGATTGGGGGCGTGGCCATGCGCTTGGGGGCGTGGCCACCCAGCTGAGCGGGGCGAGGCCTCCGCGTCCAACCCCGGCGGCGACGACAAAATGGCGGCGGGGCCGGGCGGCGGGGCGATGCGGCGGGTACAGCTGGTCCTGGGGCACCTCTCCAGCCCCCCCCCCGGGACCGGGACCGGGACCGGGACCGGGACCGGGGTTCGGGCCGCGCCGTGCGGGAGCCGCTCCGGGGTCTCGCCGCGGGCCGCCAGCCCTGACGATGTGGTGGTGGTGCACGGGCGGAGGACCGCCATCGGCCGCGCCAAGCGCGGCGGCTTCAAGGTACTGCTCGGGGGCGGGGGGGACGGCACACACACACACCCCCCTGCCCGGCTGCCCACCTTCGGCGCTGGGGCCTCCCGCTCCCCGACTCCCCTGAGGGTGCTGAGTCGGGGTCCCCCCAGGCATTGAGCTTCCCCCCCCCCCCCCCCCCCCCCCAAGCGCTGAGCACCCGTCCGGGGAGATGGGGACACCCCCCCCCCGCCGCCGCCTCTCCACACACACCCTGGTGCTGGGCTCCCCCCTGCTCGCAGCCCCCAGCCACTGCCCAGGAGTGGGGCTTTGATTTAGAAACGGTCCAAAAAGCGACATGGACGTGCCACCCTTCTGGAGCGGCCTTTTTACCTCACCAGGTGGCAATCGAGACTCCTGGGGCTGTGACGGAGGTAAGAGCACGGTGTCAGGGTCGTTGCTTGTCATCCTTGAACGTTTTGTCATCCTTCAAAATAGGTCTCGTCCTGCCGGTGGTGCTTCCCACCTGGGTCCCCCTTGTTTCTTTCACAAAATAAATGGAGGGGCTCTGCTTATGAAGTCATATCACGTAACTCACCGTAGTCATTTCGTTTTGAAGGCCCTACGAAGCCTGCTCGTATAAAACCGAGCTAGGCAAGAAATCAGCGTAACAGCGCTTGAGAGATACCTGAGGTAAAAACATGCAGAGTAATTCTGCTTTTGTTAAAAACGACAACCACCATCATGAGCTGAGAAGCGGAGTAAAGCTGCCAGAGCATCATACGCTAGCCCTCTGAAGTAGTCTGAGGGTGAACTGGTGAGACAGTGGTTACTGGTGTTCGCTGAGTAGCGCTAATCCCCTCTGCTTTTAGGATACTACACCCGATGAGCTGCTGTCAGCCGTTATGACGGCTGTGCTTCAAGATGTCAGTCTTCGTCCTGAGGCCCTGGGAGACATCTGTGTGGGTGAGTGAACAACCTCTGTCCAGACTTCAAACATCTGGTCTGGGTAGCTCTCTGGGACAAGCTGCTCCTGGTGTCCCATGGCATACTCACAAGTACCGTGGGGTTGGAAAGGGGGTTAGTGCAGAGCGTTAGGTTTATGAAATCAGTGCGTCCTTCCTGACCGTTCTGTCAAGTGGTGGGGCTCTGATCTGGGTGCCAGACGATCCCAAGCCGTGGTGATGTTAACATCTCTTCAATGCCTGCAGCAAGTAGCGAGGGAAATGCAACCGATTGACTAGAATCGTATCTTTGCACTCAGGAAACGTGCTGCAGCCTGGAGCTGGTGCTTTGATTGCAAGAGTTGCACAGTTTCTAAGGTAAACACTCAACCACATCGAGGTTCTTCCTCTCCTCGGGCCTTGGCTATGGAGCAACACTGAGAGGTTGTGATGAGGCTCGTGCGCTCCTAGGAAGTGACAGCAAATCAGCTTCTGCCTAGAAATTAGACTTTGATCGTGTGTTTGGAGAACCTTGATGGCAAAGGGACAGGGAGCAGAGGTGAGGCTGTTTAATCCGTTTGTGCCGCCTGTGTTGAGTCTCTGAACGAGAGATCTTGTTTTGTGGGCTCCCAGTTACACCAGCTACTTCTCCATACTGCAGGGCTGTGCTTTTCTCTGCTCTGCGTGATCCCAAAACCATGGAGTTGTCTCAAGTCTTTCTGTTAATTTCCAAGTCTTGGTTTTCTCGGTCTACGATGGCTCATAGTGAGCTGGATCCCAGCTTCCAAATATTTCAGCCAGTGTCTATTGCCAAGTGATATTTATTTCTGTAAATCAGTGTATGACCACCACTTTGGAGAGGTGCAGACACAGCCCACCGGTGATTATGAATATTGCAGAGCTTTTCAGTATTCCTGGCCCCAGTCAGAGGTCAGGAACTCAGCACGTGAGAGGGCCCTGCTTACATAAGACCTTCTGAAGTCAGGCTTGTGGGGAAATGGCACTGCGAGCCACGTGCAAATCGAGTGTGGCAATCACCTATGAACTTTGCTTTCTCTTGGTGCAGGACCAAATAGGTCAGCAAATGTATAAAGGGATCTGTCTTGATCTTGTGGATTAAAGTTTAACCAAGTGGCTTAATGCTCTTGTTAGAGGTTTGGTTTGTTGTGTGGTATTCACCACTGAGTCTTTGCCAACGCTCTCTTATTTTCTAGTGGTATTCCAGAGACGGTGCCGTGCTCGAGTGTGAACCGGCAGTGCTCCTCTGGGCTACAGGCCATTATCAATATAGCTGGTAAGTGTTATGGGCACTCGGATTGGAGTCGATGCCTGGCCTGTCCCAAGTGCTTGTTTCTCCTGTCCCTAAATCTCTCTGAACAGTGAAAATAGTGATAATGTCTTCTGCCGTTAGGAATTTTCAGCATGTTGTTGGCTGAATGCCTTTATATCCTTGAGTGGCTGAGTTTGCCCCTAGGGAAGTAACCTGGTTTTCTGAGGATGAGTTCTACCATCACTTCCACATAAGGCAGCTTTTAGAAGGGTCCCTCCTGTCCTCTGTAGTGGCATGTCAGGTCATGGTTAGCCGTCAGCCCCATCAGCTCTTTGACCTGGCTCGTGTTCTGGCAGGCAGTAGGGCGGAGGGATTGTCCCATTTGGCTGTGGTGTGTGCCTCAGATGTTCATGAAACCACAGCTGGAAGGGAAGTGCTTTTGCTCCTAATGATAGTAAGAATGTTTATGCGCTGCTGTTACAGGTGGCATCCGAAATGGATCATATGACATTGGCTTGGCCTGTGGGTAAGAAACTCTTTTTATGGTACTGGCTTAGGCTTCCTGAAGGTAGCGCTCTGTCCCCCTGCAATAGCTCTTGTGTGAGGAATTAGAAGCCTCTTCCAACTAGATCTGTCCCCACCAAGGAAATAGATGCTGGTCCTCATTTGACAGATGGGTAAATAAACTCTAAAATTAGGATCTGAATTTTAAGTGATGGCTGCAGATGCAATTTGTGTATTTCCAGAAGCTGCTGAGTACTTTTGCAGAAGATCCAGGCACCTTAAAGGATCTGAGGGAGGGTGCTTGAAAGTCCTTTAATTCCCCTGGAAGTTTTGGTGTTGGTGACATGGCTGAGGGGTTGCAATAAGAGGCTGAGCATCTCCTACAGGCAAGTAAAAAGCCTGTTTTATTAGGGTCCTGTTGTAGGATACCACTTGCGTGCAGAGCTCTGACAGCCTGAAAGAGCCTGCCACAATTAGCTTTTTAATTAATCTCCAGTTAAGTAGTGTCTTAGAAGACTAGTGGCTGTCTTGTACAAAGAAATTAATGCCCTACCCGTGCTAATAACTGTTCTGCAGACTTACAGAAGAAATTCTTCTGCAGTGGATGGGCATGGTGTTCTTTGCTTCAGTCCTGACACTATAAGAAGTGTTTATTTTGTAGAGGATTATGTAAATGTTAAGTTGGCTTTGGAGGAATACTAATGACCACGTACACATTCACTTCAGAAGAATGAATAAAAAAAGAACATTCAGTGAAGCTGAGATTGCCGCTAGTGAGAATTTGTAATTTTCCATATGACTTCCCTCTTCGTTCGTAATCCTGAGGCTAACATACTGGGCTTCTCTTTTTCTTTACCTTGGTCGCTCTTGAGTCTTTCTGGAATTATTATTGTAGACAGTGATCCACTAGTCCTTAGGAAGTTGTTCATATTTACAGCTTCTCAACACCTGCAGGTACCTAGTTGAGCAAGAGCTGAAGTTGAGAACTCCCTTCCTTTCTTCAGACTGTTGCAAAATCAACAGCTCAGCAAGACAAGTGTGTTCCTCTGATGTAGGCAGAGCACTTGGTGTTCACAGGGAATGCTTGTGCTTGAACACGGGATGCTTTTCACTCATTCCCTTTAACACACTTGTTTCAAGAAGTTGCTTGGAGATGTCCACCAAAATAATATTCTTAACGGTCCTGAAAGGCTCAAAGGGTTTGGGATCCAGCCTTTGCACCTCTGGGTATGCAAGTCACCAGTTTTCATTGTGGGAATTTTTCTGGCCTCTACGCTGCAAAGTCCTTCATGGAAACTTAAAATCCAGAAGTCACAAATAACTTTTGTGGGTTGGGTTTATCCCAAGTCATGCTCTTCCCCTGAGTGTACTCTCCCACTCTGTACGTGGAGAGATACTGGATGACAACACAAAAGGCAGTAGATGTGGTTTGCTCTTACTTAAAACCTGATTCTATACCTTCCTTCAGGGAGTAGATGCAGCTGAAGTCAAGTAGTGCAGTGTCCCGTATTAGTTAGTAAGTGCTATCAGGATTTTAAACTGTAGGCTGCTTGGGGGGAAAACCTTATTTTCTGCTTGTCTTGCATTTTCCAGCAATAGTTTCTTTGTTATTTACCCTTCATGAGTGTATTTGTGTGATGCAGAACAGAATTCAAACCCTCTTCCCATTGTAGGCTTCATGGTCTAGACTGACTTTACAAGAGCTCACTGGTCTTAAGTGATGACTGTGTATTTCTGCAGTAGATTCGGCTCTCTTCAATCTGTTAATTCATTTGTAGGGCAAAGACTGCAGCCTCTGGGATCCGTGTCTTTAAGTTCTTTGTGTTGTGAAATACAAGTCACATAACTCACTGCAGTCTCTTTGTTATGGTTTGCGTGATACTTAACTCCTGTTCTTAAGCTATAAGTGGCATTTTTATGGCTGTTGACAAACTCACTGGAAACTCCAGTCCTAGGACCTTAGGTTTCTCAGTATGTTTGAGGACAAAAATGCCAGGATTGCTAGCAACTCTTTCCTAGCTGTGAAAACCCAAGAAATTAACTGTTGACATTGGTGCCCTGTTCGTAGTGAAACAAGGACCAATTTAGTCTAAAAATCTGTTTTCATTTCATGATAATTCTTATATGGATGATTGAAGAGGTTCTGCCTCATCCAGTTCTTAATCATTAACTGTGTTTCTGTAGGGTGATAGGAAAACATGTTGTCAAGATATGGAGTCTTAATGGAGCGATTACCGCAAATGTAGTGTGAAATTACTGGTTGCAAATTCAATTTTTTCCTGTGTTTAGCGTGGAAACGATGTCTCTCAGAAGTGCAAATAACCCTGGTGATATAAGTTCCACTATGATGGAAAACAGCAAAGCTCGAGATTGCCTTATTCCTATGGGGTAAGTGTTTCCTCTTCCCAAAGTTCAAGGGGTTTCTGGATGCTCTGTCTCCTCAGTGTCTGTACTGTTCCAAATCAATCTGCATGCAGTGGGCTTGGATATGTATGTGTTGGCATCCTCCTTGGTTGTGGTAGAAGATTCATTGTGTGAAATGGGGGGAAGATCAGCGGCTCTGATGAAAGATTTCCTCGTCTTGTGTCTTAAGCTCAGTGGCTTAGTGAGCAAAATCTTGAGAGCGGATTTGAACCTTAGTTTTGGTTCTGGATTTGATTCAGGATCAGCTTCTGCCAAACAGTTCTAGATTGAGAAGGCAGCAGTTAGCTTTGAGACTGAAGCCACTGTTTGTACCTTGTGTTGTCTTAGTAGAAGCCAACTGCAGCTCCATTACCTGTGGTGTTGGATTAATTCTGTGATTTTGTTTTCCCCAGGATAACCTCAGAAAATGTGGCAGAGAAGTTTGGAATTTCCCGAAAGAAACAAGATGCCTTTGCCTTGGCTTCCCAACAAAAGTAAACGTGCTTTTGTTTGGCTGTTTTTTTTTCTTTAACCTTTTGGTTAAGGAATAAATACAGATAGAAAACACATTGCTACTTCCCAAGAGTGGTTAAGTGCAGCCTTCGTGTTGCCTTCCACACGTTAATAGTGAGTAAAGAAGCTTGAGATGGTCAGAGCGAAGGCCAGTGTATGTCCCGGTTGTGTGATAAGCAAACCCAAGGCCAGAGCTGGACTGGGGATTGTGTGACTGATCTTGCTCACGGATCACCAGGCACGCGAGCCTTGAGCAGCGAGTGCCCCTGTGTTTTTCAGCATCCAGAGGGTACAACCTCCGTGAGGTTTCTGAAACGGACGTATGGTGCAATATTTTCCGAGTGGCTTTGGCTCAGTATCGTTTGAAACTGAATGTGGGAACGGCAGCTGAAAGAACCTTTCCCAAGAGGGAGTATTTAAACGTAGGTGTTTCTAGAGAACTGCCGAGCTTGTGAGAAGAGTGGCTTGTCTTGGCTGCAGGTGTTTGGCTCCAAGTGAGTCCGATCCTACCCCTAGTAACCTTCCTCTTCGGTTAAATCGCTGCCAAAGTCAACTGACCCCCGGAATCCATGGGGCTGCACTGGCAGTCCAGTGGCAGGTGACTTGTTAAAGTTGCTGCCGCTGAAGAGTTAAACTAACTTTCAGAGCTCTGTTCAAGCATCGCCCCGGTCCAATTATTTATCTAAAAAGGAAGCTGCTGCAGAGGCCAGTTAACCTTTAAATTCTGGCCCTGCTTCTGAGGGAACTTGGCATGCCAGCCTTTCTCACTGACATTGAACTGATAACGCAAAGGGTATGTGAACGCGATCCTCGCCTCTCGCATGAGGAAAGGGGTGATTTTCTGGCCTCGGTCTCAGGATGTCTGTGGAGTTACTGATCTGTCCTTCAGCACTAACTCTCACTTACTTGGGAGTATGAAATATTTTCATTTCATTAGTAAAAGTATAAAGTGATGAGGGGGTAAAACGAGCTTTCGGTCTCCAAGTCCTGTTCCCTGTGAAGGGCGCTCTGCTTCTGGAAGGTGAATCTAAATCAGCTCTACCATGGAGGCTTTTAAAATACCTTGTTGACATGAAAGATCAAAACGGTGTGCCCTGAGCTTATTCTAATTTAGTTATTTGCATTCTGCCTACTTAGATCAGTCTGGTCATGTCAGTTATTCCCTACTGCTAATAGTCTTGGGGAGCAGACCCTACCTTCGCCACACCTTTGCTGCTAAATTAAGTGATACCCTTCTATGTAGTCCCACTGAACTGTGCAACATACATTGCGGTAATTTGGGGTTGAAAGGTTACATTTAAATGCCACAAGATTATATCTGAAGTCTGTGGTCTAAAGTTCAACTTGTCTTTAGTAGGACAAAGCCAGGAATGAGTGAAAGCTTACCAATTCCTTAACTTGTCAGAAATTATTAGCGTTATGTGGAGGCTTAGCCCATTTGCCCTATTTATCTCAAAAATAAGAACTGATGTTTGAACATCAGGGTTCATTTATTTTCTTACAGTTGTGATGTGACTGTACCACTGAACAAGTGCAGCTCCGTGCTGTGGGCTGTCGGTGGTCAGTCAGTCACAAAGGTGTTGATGGGAACAGAGCAGGGATCTTGCTTTGAAGTGTGTGATCCTGTGACCCAGGTTTGGGGAGAATGCCCATAATTTAGCAATATATTTCTCGTGATGAAAGAAAGTTTGTCTTCTGCTGAATGGAAATAAGTATTTGCCTGTTGTCTTGTCCGCCACTCAGCGATGATGTACCTGTGTACCAAGTCACACATCGGTTCATTCTCTTGGTTTCCTTGACATTAGTTATCTTGCAATTCACCTCCAGAATATTTTAACCTTAGGAGTTCTTTAACTTGTCAGAAATTATTAGCGTTATGTGGAGGCTTAGCCCATTTGCCCTGTTTAAACTCAAGAATGAATGTTTGAACATCAGGGTTCAGTTATTTTCTCACAGTTGTGTTGTGACTTCTTTAACAGAGCAGCAAAAGCGCAGCAGATGGGACTGTTTAAAACTGAGATTGTTCCAGTGAAGACCACTGTTCTGGATGATCAGGGCAACCAAAAAACAGTCACCGTGCACCAAGACGAAGGGATTAGGCCCTCCACGACCCTGGAAGGCTTGGCAAAGCTGAAGCCTGCTTTCAAAGAGGATGGTAGCACTACAGCAGGTCAGCCCTCCTGTCGAATTTGTGTTGTTCCTGTGGTTTGCCTGCCTTGTAACAGAATGTGCTTAGGCAGAAAAAAAAGGTGTTAACAGATCTCTTCCAACAGGTAATGCCAGCCAGGTGAGCGACGGGGCGGCTGCTGTTCTCCTGGCCAAAGGCTCCAAAGCAGCACAGCTGGGACTCCCGGTCCTGGGGGTGCTCAGGTCCTTCGCTGTGGTGGGAGTCCCACCCGACATCATGGGCATAGGGCCCGCCTACGCCATCCCTGCAGCTGTGGAGAAGGCAGGTGAGAGCCACTTGTCACTCCCCGTGTTAGGCACGAGGCAAATCAGACTCTCTGGACTGAAATTGAAGATTATGTTATTCTAGCGTGTGCAGCTCTCAGCCATAGGAGCGGTGAACTTAAATTCAAAACCTTAAAAGAGATCCCAGCAGGGATTATTAGAATATTGTTCGCTTGTACTCAGGTATAAATTGTCATTCACTCACCTTTGAGAAGCTCAGGGTTAAATCCCTGGACAGGCTCAGCAGTTAACATGCAACAAGTGATTTAGTGTTCATTTGGTGCTGCTTTCTCTTCCTTAATATGACCAGTGTGGGGGGTCTTTTGGGTTTTTTTCTTTACAATTTTGGCATCTGACCAGTGGAAGAGGCTTTCCTCAGGGTTCTCATCACACTCATCAGGTTAAAGAGCTTTTACAGCTGATGATGCTTGTGTCCACCTATCATTGCTATGGTCACATTGTAGTTTCATCTTCAAACTCTGCAAAGAAATCACGTTTAATCTAAGAAAACTTGGCAAACTCAGTGACACAATACCATGAACCGTGACGTTTTGCAGTCCTTCGCTGCCTTTTTGTCATTAGTGGAGTAGAATGAGTTCATAAAGGGTGGCTGTGAGTGAGTTATTCTCTTTGATGTAGTCGTAAGGCAAAAATACCTCCTTTTAAATCCTGACTTTTCTGAACCATAGGTCTGACTCTGAATGATATTGATATATATGAAATTAATGAAGCCTTTGCAAGCCAGGTGAGTGATCATCCTGTTTGAGTTGTTACATTGCTTGGTAGCAGGTATTTCAGGTTGGTCTCCAATTAGGATTTGAACTTACTCCACATATTACATCTTCAGCCAAACGTTATTAACACGCACAGACTATTTTCCCTTTCCTTCAAGCAAAAATAAGCAGGGCATTGCTCGTACAGCTTAATATTTAAAAAACAAACAAAAAAACCAACAGAAAAGTATGTCCACCATATAAGAATGTAATCTTTACTATCATATCCTCATACCAGCTTGCAAAATCTGTTTCCCAAGAGCTGTAGTTTGTTACCAGGGGGTGTCCGTGTGAACATGTTGCAGTCGCTAATTTGGAGATCCTTAATGAAATGTAGAAGCTTCACTACTGTGTCTTCTGCAAATCTGGGACGTGCCTGTCAGGAAGTACGTGGGCTCAGTTTGAGATGAAGTTGACAGGCTTAGGTCCCGCCTGCGCGCCTGGGATTTGTAAAGTAGTCCCACTCCTTTCCACTGGGAGTGATGATCTAACTGGAGTCAGGCCCTGAGTACTAACTGTATAATACTTTTAGAGCAGCTGGCACAATGATGTGTAATAACAAAAATAGTTTGAGCTAAATTAATTTTTAGCACAAATCTTTTGAAGCCCCTAGAGCTGCCTGGGGTGGTTTGCTGTCCCTCTTCATACATGGAAAAGATCTCCAGCCTCCCCTGCGCCCCTCTTAGCTCTCTGTTGCAGGACAGATGAGAACTAAGAGAGGTGAGAGCATCTCCCTGAAACTATTCCCTCCGTCCTCCTAGGCTGTGTACTGTGTTGAGAAGCTGGGCATCCCCATGGAAAAGGTCAACCCGCTGGGAGGAGCAATAGCACTGGGACACCCACTGGGCTGTACTGGTGCTCGTCAAGTTGTCACTTTGCTCAATGAATTGAAGCGCAGAGGGAGAAGGTGAGCACTGAGGAACAGGAGTAGCCCCAATGCCTTGTGTGTGTGTGTGTGTGTGTGTGTGTGTGTGTGTGTGTGAGTAACTTGGGCTCAGAAGTACCCACCCACCACTGCTCCCCTGGGACACGGTGTCACTGGGGTTGCACCGTAGGCTGAGCCGTGCCCCGGCCTGGAGGGGAGGGTAACAACGATGAGAAGCTGGTAAATGCCAGGCAAATGGGGCCAAACCACCTCAAACTGAGGTGGAAGAACTTGCTCTGAAATCCAGCTTCCCACTGTTTTTCCACAAATCCTACTGCAAGTCATCTGACTATTCAAATTCACCTTGAACTTTTACATAGCAAAGCCACGTGAAGGGCAGTGGTGGGAGGCAGGAGAGGAAGAGTTTCTTCCTCAGCCCATCTGAACCAAAGCAGTTCTCCTTGCTGCTAGTGTGTGTGAGGCAGGTCCCTAAGCAGCTCGCTGCTGGCACGCCGCTCCTGTCCAGAAAGCAGGCAGGGAAAAGAACTGTGTGTGCCCGTGCTCTGCAGACACCACCCTGCAAGAACTCCAGGGCACCAGGACCTGCTCTGGAGTTAGAATCTCTCGGTGACACAGGAGAGCAGTGGGTAGCTCAAATCTATGGTACTTTTTTTTTTTTTTTTTTTTTTTTTTTTCTCCCCCAGATCATCTAAACCCAATCTGTGTTTTTGTTAATTCCCTGTGTTCTTTAATTTCAGAGCGTACGGGGTCGTGTCGATGTGCATTGGAACTGGCATGGGCGCTGCAGCCGTATTCGAGTACCCAGGGAACTAAACTCCAGTGTACTGACAGAACCACCCGACAGCTGATTCTCTGCCTTCTCTAGTAATAGCAAATGATTTGCACTGTGGAATCAATTGGATTCAGGGATTCATGACTAGATTTACAAATTTTAGGCACAAAATTGTGAAGTAGAATAAATGTTACAGATCTACTAAGGAGGTGGAAAAATGCGAAACTGGCATTAAAAAGCATCCTGACATGAGAAATGAGTTCAGCTGAAGTTCAACTACAGGCCCTTGGGTGGTGATTATGAATGAACGCTTCTAATTTAGTGGATCCCTTTATTCTGTGAATATTATCAGAGGGAAGTAGTTCATGGTACAGTATTCCTGTATGACAAATTGTCTAAAAGGGTCACTCAAAACCAAACCATCAGTGTACCTGAAAAAGCTTTTCCAGGGTTTTCCTAAGAGATTTCACCATCTTGCAAGAAGTCTAGAACAGCTTGTTTTGAAAGCGGTGCAAGGACTTCACCTCCTTTCCTTCACCACTCTGCCTGTCCTAGCTAAGTGCTAAGTTGGCTGTGTCTTAACTTGTCCCGGCGCTGGAGGCTGTGCTGTACTTTTCTGCTTTTAACCAAGCTGCTCTTGCAGCTTTTAACCAAGCTGCATCTTCCAGCGAGGGAAGATGGAAGGCTGAGCATGGAACTTACCCAGGAGGTGCCTGAATAGAACGGTTCCACTGAATTACTAGCAGCTAGGAATTTGACAGCAGCCATTCCGTCTTTTACAACACATTCCTAGTTATCAGCTTGTGTGACTCCAACATAGAGGACAAGATTATTCTTAATAATATTTACTTACCTAGCATAAACCACATTTCAGCATTACTCTTACTGCGGGCACTACGTGACCGTCACTGACACCTCGGTACTTCAGTGCTCATACAAACGTGCGTTTCATCCTGTAAAGTTCTTCCGTATCTGGTCTCTCTCTCGGGAGCAGAAAGGTTGCTGAAACTGAGAGCTGTTGCCTTGAAAAAGAAACGTACTGGTTGTCTTTGACATATTAGAAAAGTTTAAATTTATAACACGGACTGAGGTTCTTTTTCCTGGCTCTTGTTTTTGCTCTTAATAATACAGTTAGGGTCTGGCAATATATTTGTTTTCTTTTTATGATTGTTGAAGGTCATGATTAGTTAGTGCTCATTGATGTTTTCTCATTCGTGTGCTGGAGCCTGTTTGGCTCTCCCAGCAATTGCTCATGGTCTGTTTTAGAGCAAAAATGAATTTATTTAGAGGAGGCAGAGAGGCATTGGCATCTTCAAAAGTTCTTTTTTCACACTGAGGTTCCTGGGTATGAAATGAGTTCTCGGCGCTAGAACAGATCTTTTACACTAGGCTGAAGGCAGCTGTCGTGCACCTTTTGTTCTCCCCCAGTGCAGACTGCAGCCCCCTCTTCCCCACACACACTGCCTCTAACAAAAACCTTTTATATGATGGGAGTGGAAAACCTGACAGGCTCAGAAGTGGGAATTTGAGTGACCTTTAGCTAAAGTAATACTAAAAACATTTAAAGAGAAGTGTGAGTAAATGGGAACCATGTGGGGGGAAGGAATTAAAAGGAAGAAGAGTTCCTCCCTCTGTAGCTGAAGAGGATATTCTCAATACCCGAGCATGATGAAACATGAAGGTTGGTAATTTTCCAAGGAGTCCAGGGAAAGTTGGCTCTTCCCCTTTTCATGTAAGGCACTGAGAAAACAGCCCAGGAAATACTGGCCTAGTCACTAATTCTTGCCTTTATTAGGTGTCAATGTCCATTTTAATGTCAAAACAAATAAAGAAGGCAAAACAAAAGCTACTTTTTAAGGTACAAACAGTCTCTAATTGTAATTAGAGTCATACTGTGATAGGCAAAGGGTTTTGGCCTGTTACCACAGCTGCTTTGCAATTTAAAACCGATTATTTTGCAGAGCTTGGCTCTGTGGGTAATGGTAAGTTTATCACAGTAATAAAAGTAATAGCACAGAATGGGGTTATGCCTGTTTTCTTTCAAGTACCATGAGCTTTTTTTTTTTTTTCTTCCCCCTCATAACTTAAATTTCATTCTGCCAAAATTCCAGTCTGTCTTAAAGCAACCGAAGTAGACAAAAATCCAGGCTCAACTGATGGCACGTCTGCATCCAACCTGTTACCTTGACATTTGTCCCACATTGCCTTGCTTAAATTAAATACAGATCTTCGTACTTCCCATCGTATGTTCCTCGTCCCCTGATCCGCAGCTTGCAAGGCCGCTCTCCCAGCCTTCCAGTAATGGTCAGGACAGTTTCATATTCAGTGTCGCTCCTAAAATGCAGAGCAAAAAGACAGCTCAGTTTCAGCTAGATGCGGTTCTGTGTTTAAGGATGAGATGAGTTACTTTGAGGAGGGGAATGGTGCCCTAAGACATAAACCGCTCCTAGTCATGAGCACGGGTCTCTGGTGTTAGTGGTGAGTCTGGGGGGGTCATGTCCCACGACTTCATACAGGACGTTTGAAAAGAACGGTCCAGTCTGTGCCAGCAGTAAAGACCTTGGGTTATTAACTTCATGTTTGACAGAAGAACTTGAGTATCTTGCTACTTGTGAAATTCTGGTTTAGTCAGATAAATAAAATGAAGCTGTGCTGGGGGCTAGTGCTTGGGAGCAAACGCCTGCGCCGCCGTGATGGAAAAACTCATCCCTGTGACAGATAAAGTTCGAAATGGAAAAGTTTCTGTCAACTCCCCTCAGACGAGGGGCAGTCAGTGGAGCCCAGGTTGTAAATGAACATCAAAAAAAGCTTACAGCAAGCGTAGTTTTGCACTCAGTGGAAGTCTCGCAGCAGAACTCGCCCAAACACTCCGGAGGTTCTTCATCTGAGGGACGTCTGCGCGTCCAAGGGACGGCTGGTGTAAAGGCCTCAGGCAAAAGCCTGTTCTGCCAGACAACTCTTATTTTTTCCTGCTCGTACACAATTCCCCTGCAGGAAGGCCACTGATTTAGGGAGCTGAATTATTAAAATCACCTCACGCCTTGCACATAATGCTTTACTAACGCCATGCTGGTCCTGAGCTCTGCTGGGAATTCCGGGGAGCTGAACAGAGGAGCTGGCTGCCGCACAGCGACGGCTTTGCTCTCTGGTGCTCTCAGGCACTTCCTTCCAGGCAGGCTGATGACCGTATCTGTTGTCAGACAAAAAGAAACGCTTCGAGCCTCCTGTTCAGAAACACTCCAGAATAATTCAGGCAGCTGGGAGCGTGGGGAAGTGTCTGGTCCACCAGGCTGCTCCGAGCAGGGACAGCTTAGAGCGGCTGCGCCAGGGACGGAGAGCTCCCCGCGTGTTCCGGGGAGATCAGAGTTAAAACAACTCGTGTCACCTGTCGTTTGCTGCTTGAAACTTCCCTGCCAGCAGTGTTTGGAGTTCCCTGAAATCACTGCGGTAGTCTGAAGCTGTCTGCCAGCACGTGGTAACTTCCAAGAAAATAATTTGCACTGGGAGTTGAGTTTTCTTACCAGAGTTGTACCTCCCCAGTTAGAGCAAAGACATTAAAGGCTTTGAGTCACTACCTCTGCCATTCACAGCTAATTCCTAGCCTTGAGAAAGGTTAGGATATGATGTCCATAAACAATTAGAACAATATTAGATGTTTATAGGACAAGGAAAGTAATTTTCATCTGCTTTCTTCTGTTCTTTGCCATTATTTGCCTGCAGCTCACAATATCTCTGTTGGGTAGAAAACCTTTGAACTAAAGGTAACAAAAATACATTGTTTTGGTTTTTTTTTTTTCCTCTTTCTCATCAAACATCAATGTGACTGTAACACTAAACGTTGCACCAGGCTAAGCAAGGGTAAAACAAATTGTATCACTGCATTAGAATAACATTTTGCTCCAATTACTTCATTGGGAGGTGCTCTGAATGCATGTAGGGAAGTAAAGGACTTCAAAAAGTTTCTTTTAGAGAGAAGCCACGTAAACTATAATGAAGGATCCCCAAGACGGAGTGCAAAAGACATTGTGCTTTCCTGCATGATGAGCAGATGCTTTACTGGAATTCTGAACTACTCCAGGCACATTTCTCCCCCTGTCCTCATCAGCTGCTGGATGCATAAAGGACTCAAACTGTTGTATCAGCCTCTGCGTTGACTTACAGGCCCGAGCTTTGCCCTCTGTTGAAGACATTGCCCTAAAGAAAGGGATTTCATCCAGTGGTACACGGTCCGTGTGTCATGCCAATTTATGGAACAGCGTGATTTCGAGTGGGTACATCTAAAGTCTGAAATTCTGGGTGCCAAATCCAAACGAAATCCCATATATGGGAGCAGTGTCGGGAACATGGTTCTATGGAAAAAGTAGCAGCTGGAAGCCCAGCATTGCCAAATGTTAGAAGCGAAACAAGCAGCCTGACATCCCAAGAACAGCATTGCTCTCTGCTTTCAGGGACTGCTCACACCGTAAGTCTGGACTTGGCAGGGAATAACAGCAAGATCTCAGTCCTGTTAATGGTACCTTGCAGTAAAGCTGATCTGCAAAATCTCTTTGGTAGGTGGGTCCCCTTCCCGTGCCTCCAAAATGCCAGTAGTAGGGAAGACAGAAAACACTTCCAGGTCTTTATGCCTTTCCTGTTCATCTGCAGTGAAAGGGGCAAATATCAACCAAAGCAATACGAGACCCCTTGTATAAGTCTCTACAGCATGTAGCACCCAAAATACTGCATCTCCTTGCTGGCCCCCTAACCAGTCATGTCTGGCACTGTCAGAGGCTTTCTGTGCACGTGGCCACTTTTTGTTTTCATCCTCTAATCAAGGAGATTGATCAGTGGCCTCCAGGTCAAAATAAGGCCCTGATCATCTTCCCTGGGAAGCCCACCTGTTGTTAACATCATCAGGCACAAACTTATGAGGAGCTACTGCTTCTTGTCACCTCTTGGGACTGTATTATAAATGAGCAAAGCACGTCTGCTACTTGTGAGGGTTGTGATTTGATCTTTTGGTTAAATTTGGAGTAACTGCTGAAATCAGGAGAGATAAACTGATGTCAATAAATAAATAAATAAATTTTAAAAGTCCACCCAAGTGAGAACCAAAGCAGACCTGCTATGTTTGCAGCCAACATCATCACGTACTGGCTATATATTGAGTGCATGCAGTCTTACTGAATGAAAACACTGAATAGTGAAACTATATAAAAGGAAATTCAATTGCAAAACCAGAATACCCAGCAAAGCAGTCCAGTAGCTTCTACAGCCACTCCTGTTGCACAGGAAGACATGTTCAGTCTTGGTCTGTGCAACAAAGCAGGTCTTGAAATCAACTGTGTCACAAGAGAGCTCCAGCACTGGAACAGTGAGGTATGCAGTCACCGGGACCAGCTGCAAAACAGAGGAAAGGGAAAGGAGAAAAGAACCCCACCTTCTTTTTGTAGAGCTCTAATAATATCTGCTACAGCTGGATCATTCTTAAACCCAAGCACTGACTCAAGAGTAGCTATTCTGTGTTCTTTTGTAATAGAGTCAACTCCCCGTTCTACAGCATTGAGTGGATTAAGTTGTTGCTTGTTTTACTGTTTGGGGATAGGTTCTCAAACCAGACACTGTGGTCTTCATGAAGTAAGACAGAGTGAACATTCTCATTTTTTTATTGGGGTTTTCTGTGGAGATGCAGACGTTACAGCATCTCACCGTCCCTTAGGAGTGTATATGGCCCACTGTGAGTCATTCAATTTGTGCAGACCGCCCAAGATTATTAACAAATGGACTATCTTAGATATGGTGCTTGGATCCTACACAGATCAGTCCTCAGAAAAACCCGATATGAAAAAAAAATATTTAATTCCTGCAGTGTCCTGGAACTGCTGAAGACTCGGGAGGGGGGGGGGGTTATAGCTTTCCATCTGGAAGAGATCGCTCTTTAAACGCGTGTGGGCTGCGACACCACGCGAGGGTCAAACAGACCCGGGAGACTTTCAGGAAGGGCTGCGGGCGCCGCAGGAGGTGGCGCTTGGTGACTGAAGCCGCGGGCACGTTCGCTGGGCCGGTCCTGAGCCCACGTCTGGGCCGGACGGCGCGAGCCCCCTCGGCCAGGCCGCCGCCGCGCAGAGCCGGGCTGGGGGCACCGGCGTGCTGACCCCAAACCGCTCCGGCTGCCAGAGAGCTGCCTCCTTTTGCAAACCCGTGGCCGTTCACAGTTTTCTCCAGAGGTGGCTGCATTTCACAGCTCAGTAAACCCCAAGGCACATTCATTCCGAGTCAGAGATGCTGATAAAACAGTCTCTGAGCCGTCCTCCTGATCCTACCTGGGTAGCGTGGTTACTGTGTTCAATGACCAGATTCTGATTAAACTTCAGCTTTCTCTCTCCATTCTCAGACTGGAGCACTTGGAATCCAGGAAGCAGCTGGGTGTCTGGCAAATGTTGATAAGTAAGTAACTCCAGAGTTGTGTGGAATGACACTTTCACCTGTGGGAAGAGGAATCCAGATGACCATCCCATAAGAAGACACTGCGTGCAGGAAATCCAAAGCAAACACTGCTCAGAGGCCCAGGCACACGTTTTCCCACTGGAACCCAAAGGTGTCATGCCAGCAACCAAATTCCCACTGGAACAAAGGATTATAATTAAAGAAAAGCTATTTCCTATGAATCCAGTATACACAGAGATGGAGTGTAAAGGTGAGCAGCTGATCTCTGAACCACCGGGGAGAAACAGTCTCTAGCAAGACAAAGGTTCTAAATTCCTGAGGTTACAAACACCACATTCCCAAAGCTGTCTTAAACAAGTAAGTCATCTTTCCTCCAGCACACGCAGAAGTAAAACGTGTCTGTGTCTGTGTCAAAACAAACACTGAGAAAGGAGAAGCACACTTCAAAAATGCGACTGTTCCTCATTCTTTGCACCCTAGCTAATTCTTGACTCCAGGACTTTGTTTCTTTAATGTCATTGCGTACACCCAAAACAAACCATTTTTTTTCCTCTGTTTGCACTGCCTGCATCTAATTTAAGGAAATGAGGAAC